TTATATCCAATGTGTAGTTCATTTCAGCACGTAAGTTATCTGGGTAACAGTCAATCTTAAAAGAATCTAAGATTTTGCTGCCAGGCACAGTGACTCACACCTGTTATCCCAGCACTTTGGGAGGCCAAGGTGGGTGGATCACTTGAGGTCAAGAGTTCGAGACCAGCCTGGCCAACATGGTGAAACCCTGTCTCTACTAAAAATACAAAAATTGGCAGGGCGTGGTGGTGCACGGCTGAGTTCCCAGCTACTCGAGAGGCTGAGGCAAGAGAATTGCTTGAACCTGGGAGGTGGAGGTTGCGGTGAGCTGAGATTGTGCCGTTGCACTCTAGCCTGAGTGACAAAAGACTCCAACTCAAAAAAAAAAAAAAAAAAAGAATCTAAGATTTTGCTTCATAACTGGACTTAAATTTACTGATTTACTAATTAAGTACATTTGATGTACTAATAACAATCAGTTTTTAATGGTGCTAATGTCATATAAATGTGACATTAAACAACAAAAATTTTGTGAGGTTGAATGTTAGCTAAATATCGCTACATATTATTAAGAATCCAATAAAGGCTTTAATGAAGTTAGATTTATAGCGTAGCTAATAGAAGACACAAAGTTCACAAACTAGTCTTCTCTCATTGTTTCTTGGCCTATAAAATCTGGTAGAGGTTTCATAGGATTTTGGCTATATTTGTGTGATCTTACATGGCTGTGGGATCCAAGTCCATGTTGTTTTCTGGAATACTTCTAATAGTTTTATTTTTGATTTGGTTTTTTCCATTTTCCATGATTTTCAAATTGAACTTTGGTTGACACAGAGTATCAGGTTCTCGGAAGCCAACTTGGACATATGCCAGTATTAGACTTTCTCTTTCCAGGACAGACCAGCCCAAGTGAAGTGGCACTGGCATTGCACCTCCCTTTGGTTAGGGAAGTCTTTGGTAATATTGCAAACATGGGTTTTTTTCCTGAGAAATATTTAATAATAGCACATTTATTGATCACCATGCTCTTAACCTTTTCTAGTTATAATTTTTTTTAGGTATTTTATTCCTTGTAAACACACTTGTATAGGGTGTTTCAGTGTTCAAAGCACTTTTAGAGATTCTTACTTGATTCTGACGATAGCCCTATGAGATGCACATGGTGTTATTTTGATTTTACAGAGTCTTAAGTGACTGGCCCAAGATCACATAGCCAACAAGCATGGAAATAGGGTGAAGAAACCAGTTTTTTCCAGTTCACGGTCCAATAATCTTTCTTAAAGCTAAATGGCACTCTATTTGTTTACATGACTAAAAACTTAGTTCTTTTATTCATGTGAAAGGTCTCCTATGTTGTAACAACTTCCTTGAATGCCACAGAATTGAATGAATTTATTTTATGTCAATGTACTAGATGTAGCTTCTGTGTCGGGGGGCAGATAATCGGTGGTATTCAGCCAGAAAACCAATTTGTGTTACTTGGAATCTGAATTTTGGGGTTTCTCACCTAGTAGAGCATTTGTACCTGTTCCAGCATCCATCTTCAATTCCAGGAAAACACGTGTGATCCCTTATTGCTTGGTATTCACCTCATTCAGTGGCACAACTGTTTGCTACTTGGCAGTCTGTGCAGAAGTAAGATCCAGAAATAATTTAGCAAGAGAGTTACTTACATAAAGACTGAGAGCTACGTTGTTCTGTGTAAATGCTGGTGCAACGTGACCTCTTTGTGTTTTGTGTACATGCTGTGCTAGCACTACGAGTTGTCTATATCCACCTCATCCACGCTTACTTACTTTTGAAGGAGTCGATTAATTCTTTGCCTGAAATTTGATAATTGTGTTATCACTGAGGTTATAACATTTTCATAAATGAGCTACAGCTTTAAAAGTAGAATCCTTCTACACAGTCATTGAGAGGCAGTGTTTACTTTTCTGTTTGGTAAATAACTGAAATTTTAAAATTCATTTTTAGGTTAGCCAATCTTACTTCCTAGATAGTAATGTAATATTTAAATTTGTCTTTGCCTTTCCCTAGATTCTGGTTTGACTTAACAATGATAAAACTGTTTATTCTTTGATTTGCTTAAAGTTACCATCAGGTTTCTAATTTCCCACAAGAACACGTGTTTGCATTATTCCAGCTGTAATATAATAGAACAACCTAGTGTTGCTTGGTTTACTTCATATGCCTTTTTCTATTTGCATAAACCCTGACCTGAATGCAAACTGTATTTACACCATTCCCCTGACTCCTTCCAAATCAAAGTATTTATTGTCCAGGTAAAACATTTATGGTTAGTGATATAAGCTGGCTTATTTTTTTTTCTTTGACTTTTTTCTTTTTTATTTGAATTAGCATCTCACTCTGTTGTTTCAGCTGGAGTTCAGTGGTGCAATCACGCATGGCTCACTATAGCCTTGACCTGGGTTCAAGTGATTCTCCCACCTCAGCCTCCTGAGTAGCTGGGACTACAGGCATGCACCACCAGCCTGACTAATTTTTGTTATTTTTTGTTGAGATGGGGTCTCACCATGTTGCCCAGGCTGGTCTCAAACTCCTGGGCTCAAACCATCCTCCCACCTCAGCCTCCCAAAGTGCTGGGATTACAGGCATGAGCCACCATGCCCAGCCTGAATTTCAATCTTACTTAAACTCAGACAGCCTTAAGAAATCTGCGTAATGAGTTTGTAGCTTTTAAAAGAGATCTGCCTTATCAAAAATAATTATACTGTCTCATTTCAGGATTATCTATGGGTCTGGTTATTTTTTCTAGGATGGAAACTGAACCCCATCTTTAACGTTATTTAAAAACTTGAGAGTTATTTTAAAAGTATACAGGAATGGCTCTCATGGCTAAAATTTTTCCCTAAAAAGCCTTTAGCAGTCACAAATAATTGTTGCCTACTGAATTATATTTTTTTAAAAATAGAGGAATTATAGAAGGGTTTTTATTTTATTTTTGTTAAAGATACTTTTGAAAACTAAGTTTAGTACCAGTTCTTTTACTGTGTGGAATGCTGCCCCTTTCCTGCTTTGTTTATTTTGTGATGGCACATGGACAGATTGTGAAGATGATCTCTATGTCGACTTCCTATTGTGTGTGTGTGTGTGTGTGTGTGTGTGTGTCTGTGTGTGTCTGTGTGTGCTCCATTTCCCTTTGGGGAAATGGGAATTAGAGCTGGAAGAGAAAGAAACAAATTATTTTCATTAATCTTTTTTCTCCTCAGCTTATTTAACTGACCTAAGCTATGGAAAATTTGGTAATTTATATTTAAAATTAATATAATTGTGATTTCCACCCCATGTATTTACTTACTTATTTTGAGAAAGGGTCTTGCTCTGTCACTCAGGCTGGACTGCAGTGGCGTGACCATGGCTCACTGCAACCTTAAACTCCTGGGCTCAAGTGATCTTCCCACCTCAGCCTGCAGAGTAGCTGGGACTATAGGCAGCTAACACCATGACTGGTTAATTTTTTAATTTTTTGTAAAGACAGGGCCTCGCTGTGTTGTCCAGAGTGATCTTGAACTCCTGGCCCCAAGTGATCCTCTCTCCTCAGCCTCCCAAAGTGCTGGGAATAGAGGTGTGAGCCATTGTGCCTGGCCCTCCAAAATATTTTTACTTTCATTTAAGTTTGCCACTGATCTCCTATCCTTACTTTCCCTATGTCTCCTCAATCTTATCTTTATGGTAGTTTAAGAGAATCTAGACTGCTGTTTGCTTAACTGATGGCTCCCCTGGAAGCTATTACCAATCACATCACTGCCTCACACTGAGTAGGACTTGAAGTTCATGAAACATCTTTCATGTGCTCATCTAACTAAAATTGATCCTTTGTGCTTTATCTTGATGTTCTTTTCTCTTATTTATTTGTACTGCTTTATTACTCTATCACATTAGTTGTCAAAGCTAGTAGTTAGTTCACATGTTGATTTCCTAGGCCTGTATCCTTATCAGTCTAAGGTGGGAGAAATAGAGGTAAAACTTCTAAATATCTACCTAAACTGGAAAGGAATAAGGAAGAGAATTAATTTAGTAGAATCAACCTTTCTGTTTTTTACAAAATCAGGTTAAAACAAATTAGTTTTACACACACACACACTTTTTTACACAGAATTATCGCTGAGTATAATGTGGTCCAACTTGACTCCATAACTTTTTAGGTTGCTTTATAATTATTAGCTAATAAGTGTTTTTTATTTTAAGTGCTACTATAAAATGTTGAAATTGATCTGGTGCCAGTGTTATTCTTGTTAACTTATATCAATCTCTGTGTTTTATAGTCCTTTGAACATATTAACAATGAAAAAGAATGACTGGTAATATCAAATCTTACAGTTCTTTGTCACACAGTTTTAGAGATCTACAAGTAATTAGCTATAAAATATTTGGTTGGCAGTAGAGAATATTTTTAAAGTTCAATAGACAAAAGTAATAAGGAGTAGAACTACCAGATATTTAAACATGTTATGAAGTAATGGTATTGAAGCAGTATGGTAAAGGCTCCAGATTAGATGTGTATAGATCATTGAAGACAAATAGAAATAAATGCTGTTATTTATATAAATCTGACATATGTTAAAATAGGCACTGTTAAACAGTGGGTAATGAACTGTTTTAAAATGGGGTTGTAATAATCAGTTAGCAATTTTAAGGAAAAATGCATTTAGATCATTATCTATACAAGATACAATAAAAAGTAAATTTTTGATAAAGCATGGACTATTATATCATTGAAAATCTAGAAGATAAAAACACTGAATATAATTTCTCTGGAGTTCCTAAGCAATTGGAAAACTGGAAAAAGAAGATAGTAAAAATGTGTTTTATTGTAACACATTCACATTTGTTTTATTGTAACTGTAGCTCTGTGAGCATTATAGGAAAGGCTATCTATTCCATGTTCACAATCTGAAAATTAGTCTCATTTTTTTTCACATCAGCTGGAAACCATTTTCCTTCCAAACTAGCTAATGAAACACAGAATGCAATTCTTTATCTAAAATTTTATTCTGTAGGTGCATTGAAAACTATACAGGAGCTCGTTGTGAAGAGGTTTTTCTCCTAAGCTCCAGCATCCAAACTAAAAGTAACCTGTTTGCAGCTTTCATGGCAGTGGCAGTCCTAGTAACACTGATTATTGGAGCCTTCTACTTCCTTTGCAGGTAACCAAAATAGAAACATAGTTTTGTGAAAAGTAATGCATAAAGTAGTTATTCCACTAATTAATATGCCCTTTAGTTCTAGATATTTTTCCAGATACTGTATTATGTTTAGTTGTCTCTTTAATCGCTTTTGTTATTAACATCATTTTTGAAAGGATCTCAATAGGCAGTCTCAATTTGTTCTTTGTTGCTGTTGTCAATATTTAACTTATCTGAACTACTAAGGTAGAGCCATACTCACTATAGCAAATATGCCAAAAGCACCTAAACATTTGGGTTAGTTGTATTTAAAGTAAATTTTGTATGTGAAAGAAAAGGAACACTTATGCAATACTGTACGTGTTAGCTTAGACATGTGGTTAATGTGCAGGGTCAGCCATTTAGTGCCCACTGTGTGCTAGGCATAAAGAATACAATAATTAACAAAGTAGACATGTTTCCTAACTTCAGAGATATTTAAATCAATTTGGAGAGATAACAAATAGGCAATTAATTTGGGGAAACTGGTAACTCACAAGGGAGACAAAAGAAAAAACTACTTGCATAAAGCAATTATATGCACTGAAGATTACTTTCATTCGTTTTGATCTTCAATTGTTTTTGACATTTTGTGAATAAAAGGAAATATAGAATTTAGTAAGTTTAGGAGTTGTCTGGCATAATTCATCATCAATATTTATTAAACTCACACTGTATTCTATCATAGATACTTGTGAAAATGGAGCTGAAGGTAATCATAAAAGAGATGCAAGTGGGCTTGAGAAGTTTATATACTAAGAAAGGTAACATATAGGTAAAATAGTATCTTGTTAGATCCTGATTTCTTAACTCCTTTACATCAAGGAATAATTAAAAGTTGAGGGAGGCCGGGCGCGGTGGCTCACACCTGTAATCCCAGCACTTTGGGAGCCTGAGGTGGGTGGATCACGATGTCAAGAGATGGAGACCATTCTGGTCAACATGGTGAAATCCCGTCTCTACTAAAAATACAAAAAATTAGCTGGGCATGGTGGCGCGTGACTGTAATCCCAGCTACTCAGGAGGCTGAGGCAGGAGAATTGCCTGAACCCAGGAGGCGGAGGTTGCGGTGAGCTGAGATCATGCCATTGCACTCCAGCCTGGGTAACAAGAGTGAAACTCCACCTCAAAAAAAAAAAAAGTTGAAGAAACTGGGTTTTTAAAAAATATGTGGCATTAAATAGTTTATTCCAAAACATATCATTTAAGTAATTCAATAGATTTTCTCATAATTTTAGCATCTGACTATTTCAGATACAAAAATTTAAATACAAGCCCACTATATCAGATTGCATTTCCGAGGGATCGCCACAGGCTCTCTTATTCCCACATACTCTTCTGCAGTGTGACCTTAACACTCATCATCAAGAGGTAAAGTTTATTGCTACAGAATCCTTGAATCTGGGCAGACACTATGACTGCCTTGATCATAGAATATTGTGGAAATGATACTGTTCCAATTAAGGAAATAGCCTTTAAATGTCATGGAAGTTTCCATCTCTTGCCACTCATACTTGGGATGCTCCCTCACAGAATCAGCCACCATGTTGTAAGAAGCCGAAACAGCAGGAAGAACCAGCCCCAACTGAACTTCAGCCAACAGCCAGCACCAACCAGCCTTTTTAATGAGCCATCCCAGACATTCAGCTCCTTGAAACCTTTAGTTGACTCCTGACTTAACTGCCAGTTTACTGCAACCACACAGAGAACCCAAGTAAAAGATGGCCAGCTGTCAACCCACATAATCATGAGATGAAGTTGTTTTATCCCCCAAGTTTGGAGAAGTATGTTATGTATAAGTAGATAACCAGAAGACCCATCTTTGGAATTAGGTTTATGCTTGACTTTAAATGTATCAATGTTGGAAAGCTGAATAATAATCTATTCTTATTCTATCCCCCTAAACATTTTGTCGGTCTAATATGCTAAGGGGAAGACCAATATCTACTTCCCTCATTAATCACTCTGGTGCCGGTTTGGAGATATAGTTTCCATCTGTTATTGATCAGATAATGAATTATGTTTAATTCATTGTCATTAATATGTCAGGATAGTCTAGGTTTGGCTACAGTGACTACCAACCCTAATAGTTTAGTGGCTTAATGAACAGAAGATTATTTCTCACTGATTGTAGGTAATCAGTATGGACTGGCAAGCAGGGCTTTGCTAATCATAGTCACTTAAGGACTCAAACCATTGGAGCAACTCCATCTTGAGTGCTGCTGGTTGTCAAAGGGAAAAGAAAGCTCTGGAATGTCTCACACTTAAATTGAAACGATCTGTCCCAGAAGTGACACACATCACTACTGACATAATTCATTAGCCAGAAGGAGTTTGATGGTCCTCCTCAATTGTAAGAGGTGGCTGGACATGGTGGCTCATGCCTGTATTCCCAAGTGGGAAGATTGCCTGAGCCCAGGAGTTTGAGACTGGCCTGGGAAAGATGGCAAGACCCTGTCTCTACAAAATGAAAAATAAAATAAAAAATTAAAAGTACAAAAAAAAATTAGCTGGGTATGGTGGCACACATCTGTAGTCCCAGTTACTCAGGAAGCTGAAGCAGGAGGATCCCCCAAGCCCAGGAGTTTGAAATGCAGTGAGCTGTGATTATGCCATTATACTCCAACCTGGGCAAGAGAACAAGATTGCTGTCTCTTATTTTATACAGACAGATTAAATAGATAATATTTATTTATATATTTATATGTATATATATATTATTTACATGTAATATATCTGAGTATCAGGAAATGCAATTCAACCATATGCCCATCTGGTAAAAAGCCAGAAGTACATATCTAACAAATTAACCAAAGGATTTATAAGAATATCTACTATTCCGCTGGGAATTGACAGTGATTTGTGTGATATTAAATCCATAGAACTTGGGCCAGGTGCAGTGGCTCATGCCTGGAATCCTGCCAAGGTGGGAGGACCACTTGAGACCGGGAGTTTGAGACAAGGAGTTTAAGTTGAGCCTGGACAACATAGCAAGACCCCATCTGTAAAAAAAATTTCTTTTTAATTATCCAGGTGTGGTAACACATGCATATAGTCCTAGCTGCTTGGGAGACTGAGATGGGAATATCAGTTCAGGCCAGGAACGAGAGGCTGCAGTAAGCTGTGATTGCAGTAGTGCACTTCATCCTGAGTGAGAGAACAAGAGCCTGTCTCAAAAAAATTAATTAATTAATGGAACTTTCATACTGTTGTAGTTGCCCCAAAATGAAATTTCCTTTGCCATCCATTGAGTTTGTGAAGGGCACAGTGTATTGTACCCCACAGGTGTTCAATGCCCCAGAGCAGCAAAGTTTCAGAAAAGAGTCCTCCTAAGCCATAGCTGCTCTGCAGACTTGAGCCAGAACTTAGACACATTTCTAGTCTGAAGTACACTGTAGCAGGCTAAACAATACCTTTTGAGTAGAAAGTGTAGGTATCATAGAAGGAAAATAGCATATATACACATATATATATGAATGAAGTGGTGCTGAAAACAAGAGAAGAGAAACCTCCCATCACAACCATTATGCGGGTCTCCACCCTGAATTCACACTGCCTGAATGTCTGAGGGTAAAAAGCCAAGAATATAAAGTAATCCAGGCTGGCAATGTCTTCAGGTGGTTGACCAGAAACAAATACGAATCAATTCTTGAAGAGCCTACTCTCATCCTTTACCTTAAAGAGTGCCTCGCATTGTGAAGTGATTACCAAACATAGAAGAAAAGAGGCACAATTAATTAGAACTAGCAGAAACAATAGGTAGTAGGATCAGATATTCAGAAATCTGTATTTATTGGAAGAATCAGACACATGACATACAATAAATATGTTTAATATGTATCAGGTTTTTCGAGCGACCATGTGATAACTGCTGAACCATCACCCAGCACTCCTGGTGGGTCGGGGAGAGCCCTTTCCTGCCCGGCTCGTGCCTCTCTAACTCCCTGTAACAACGTTGACCCGTGGATGAACAGTTTTCATGGTTCTGTTCCTACTCTGTGACCCTGTCAGCTCACAAGTGGCTGCATGCTGAGGCTGCTGGGATGACATACTCGTACAGAATTCATCAGAAAACAAGAAAAACAACTGCCCCTTCAGAGATGTTCTGGAGGTAGCTTAATGAGAAATCTACGAGTACTGAAGACATTATGAATGCATTCAAAATTCTCTCTAAATGTTGGTTACCTGAAAATCTTTACCTTGTGCATATGTGCTTTCTTTTCCTGAAATTGCTAGACTTTCCTGGTCTCTGACTGGAGAATTTACCAGTATGTATTTCTTGTGGGCAAATGGAGATGCAAATCTGAGGAAAACTCAATGGCATCCACAATCAATGATTTATAAAAATCAAGTTTCTCCACAAAGCTTCAGATTTGAAATGTGACCTGAATAATTGAATAATTATTAATAATTATAATTGAATATTTCTAATATTATCAAAGGCAGGGATTATATCTTGTTCAAAATCTGTGGCAGGTGTCTATGTGGCATGTGCTCAAGAGATTGTCCCTTCTTTATTCAGTAAGTCTTTGTTTATTACCTACTGTATGCAAGAGGATGAGAAATTTATATAGAGTGATTGGAATTTAAAAGAAATATGCAGATTAATCCCTCTAGAAGTTTATAATCAGCTGAAAGTTTACAATATAATGGTCTCCTATGAGACTGTTGGAAACACAATGAAGTTTGAGACACTCACTGGAATTATCACAACATGACTTCCATATGTTTTCAGTATGACTTGAATGGCTTGCCTTAGGAATGAGAAGCAATAAGTCAGTCACACACACACACACAAATATGTATCAAAAAATGAGAGGCTTAGAAATAAGCAAATTTGGCAAAGACCCAAACAGATCTCCAACAAATCAAATATAATTTTTTAAATTCAGTACATATCTTAGTTCAATCAATTTTTTAAATTAATGTATGCCTCTAAACAGCAGATTAAACACAATAAAATAATTAATTAATTGGAAAATAGGAAAAATTACCCAGAGGGCAATCCTCAGAGAAAAAGAAATGGAAAATATTGAAGAGAAGTCAAGAAGTGTGGCGACCAGAGTGTGTGTGTCAAACTTACGCTTAATTGGAATTCCAGAAGAAAAGAGAGACTGGGGCAGAAGCAGCATTTGAAAAAGAGACCTTTTCAGAACTGATGAAAGTTACCCACAGATGTTAGAAGCCTAACAAATCTCAAGCAGGACAAATGAAAATAAATTTGCATGTGGTGCAACATAGAAATTGTAAAACACCAGTTCTAAAGAGAATACCACAAAAAGTAGAAAAGAATGGCAGATTATCATCAAAAATGCTACAATTAAACCAAAAGCTTGACTTCTCAGTCAGAAAGAACTAAAACTAGAACACAGAGTAGTGATATTTTCAATACACTGAGAGAAAACAGTTATCAACCCCAAATTTCTGTGGCAGTGAAAACATCTCTCAGGAATGAGGGTAAGATGAAGATAACTTTTGGTAAGCAAATTTGAGAGTTATCCCTGAGTAAACCTTCTACCTGAAGGATATATGTCAGGGAAAAGGAAGTTGATCCTATATGGCTTGTGTGAAATGCAAGAAGGAACAGAGAAAGCTATTAATATGTGAATAAATCAAAACAAATATTGTATAAATTGTAACAATAAAATTGTCCTATGTATTTTTAAAAAGGAGTTAAAATGCTTGATAGCAAACAAGTTGAAAGGATTGTAATTAAAGTGTACTAAGGTCTTTTTATGGGGGAGGAGAACTATATGAGGTAATTTTGACCTTGATATTTTACCATGAATATTAAAATGTCTAGGGCAACACATAATAGAAAATCAAAGTGTATGATTTCCAAATTAGCAGAATGACAAACACTGAATTATAACCAATTCGTTAAAAATACATAAAAAAGAAAATTAAAAATTAGAAAACAGGATAAATAGAAAGCATGACATAAGATCTAGGCTGTTCTATAGTGACCATGTGAGATGTATTTGTCTCTTGAAAATGTGGTGCTTTCAAGAATGAAATTATTTTCTGTCATAGTTTTTGGTCCATTAGTGGCTGAAATGGCTTTAAACTGAGGACCTTTTGAACTTAGTGCCATCACTAAATGAGGTCCAAAATGATACCCCACTAATGCTAAAATCTGGGCTAGAATCAGTAGTGTTTCAGGAATAGAAGCCAGTATGCTTTTAGAAAATACATACCATTTTGCAGTGGTAAAAGTGGTTTTGAATTCATTTTTATTAATCTAAGCTAAAACTGCATATAGACATACTGAAAAAATGAAATCACTGTATATTCCCAAATCTATTGTCACATAAATTATAACCTATATTAATTGATGAAATGACTGAAAAACCTGACGTACTGTTACCTTGAAAATGTCCAAAATGTCTTTTTTAAATGCCATTACTAGAATAACTGACTAAAGCCACCCCATGTCACATAAGGGTCCCAACTGATAATGAAAGCTAACCTTTTTAAAAAGGGTACAAAAATAACACTAAGATACAACAGCTTTGCTGCTGTCTTAAAAAGTCCAGGTCATCAGCATCTGAAGTCCCCACAGATGACCTATGTGTACTAATGGATTTGTTAAATAATGGGGAACAGTTTTAAAGCAGCCCTGACAATGTCAGGTAGTTATGGAAGGAAAATGAACCTTCAAATAGTCAAGTTATACTTTCATTTGAATGCCATGATGTGTTGTAAAAAGGGGAAAAAAAGAGAAATTTTTTTAAAAAAGTCCTTTCTAGGTCTTCTGACATGCTTTTCCTATTACTCATTTTCCATTTTTGTGTTTCTCTCCTCTTTATTGTCAGGAAGGGCCCCTTTCAGAGAGTGGGTTCAGTCCAGTATGATATCAACCTGGTGGAGATGAGCAGTACCAGCACCCACCACAGTGAGTAAACTCAAAACGAATGCTTATTTTAAAACCCTAGATGAGATTGTTGTTGTTACCTGTAGGGATGTGGATTTAGATCTACCCAGAAAAAAAAGGTTGATCCTAAAATTTTTCTATGGATTTTTTTTTTTTGCCAGATACTCTTTTTCACATAAAAATGAACTTATTATCAGTATGACATAAATCACATTTTTTTCCCAGACAAAACAATGTTATCTCAATATGTGAAATTCTGGTGTTAGCTCTAATGTGCCACACAGATAGAAGGTAGTAGTTTCTCAGGAATATTTTGAAGTGAGCTAGCATATGGGGAGAAGGAAGAGTTCCACCTGTAAAGGTCAGCAAATCTTTGGAAAACTTGTAGACAAATTGATGTTTAAAATTGTCTTGAGACTTCTGGCCAAGATGGAGTAACAGGCACTGGATTTATTTCCTTCTACTTAAAACAACAAAAAATGGACAAAATAGACGAAGCAGTGGTTTTGAAGACGTTGCTATCAGGCAGCAAAGGAACCAGGAGCCCTGAGAGATGGAAAATAGACTAGGTGAGCCAATGATTGCCTTAGATTACTGGCTGGAGAGAGTTTCCAGGCTTTTGTGCAAGGCTGAGTCTGGCCGACGGTGAGTTGATGGAGCTGAGAGTCGTGAGTTGATGGAGCTGAGAGTCGGAAAAGATCAAGGTGACTATATTGTACTGAAGAGTGTCCTGGAAAAAAGACAGCTGTATGAAGAGAGAACTCCAGAGACCTTCAGTTCAAGGATTCAGCTAAATACTAACCAGGGCATGTGTGAGAGGAAAATACTTGAGGGTGTGGAAAAAAAATCACGTGAAAGGATGAGAGGTGCCCAGTATTCACAAGGGCCAGGAAACGTGCCTGTTCCCACCGAGACTGAAAAGCTCACTATTCATGGGGCACTGGGTAGAGTACACAGAAAGGTGTCCCCTGTAGTGGGGAATAACTAGCCCTAGATGAAGCACTGCTGCAGTCCTGCCTACTTAACTGTAAAAGCATGAGCTGACAGTATCAAATTGTTTCCAAATAACTACATCCCAGATCAAATCACAACAATGCTAAAAACAGCTAGTACCCGACAGGTGAAATTAATAATGTTTCACACCCAATAAAATTACCAACCTCCAAAGCAGCAGGAAATGTGCTCAAAATGAGAAATATTAAGAAACTGAAGGTGGGGCATGGTGGCTCATGCCTATAATCCCACACTTTGGGAGGCTGAGGCAGGTGAATCACTTGAGGTCAGGAGTTCGAACCAGCCTGGCCAACATGGTGAAACCCCTTCTCTACTAAAATACAAAAAAAAAAAAATTAGCCAGTGGTGGGTGCCTGTAATCCCAGCTACTGTGGAGCTGAGGCAGAAGAATTGATTGAACTGGGGAGGCAGAGGCTGCAGTGAGCCGAGATTGCCCCACTGCACTCCAGCCTGGACAAAAGAACAAGACTGCATCTCAAAAAAAAAAAAAAAAAAAAAAAGAAATTGAAACTGATGTTAGAAATGCCAGGCAAGCACAGTTATTATAAATGTATTACATAGATTCAAAAGTTAAGTAGAAACATGGAAGATGTATTTTTTTAAAGGGTCCAAATCGAACTTCCAGAGATGAAAACCAGTGTCTGGGATAAAAAACATATACACAGACATACACAAAACAAAAAACAAAATAAAAAAACACTGGATGGTATTTGTTAATACCACACCATAGAAAATGGTATTACATACCATAGAAAATATTGGTGAACTTGAAGATATAGCAATATAAACTATGAAAAAAAAACACAGAAAGAAAAATTTTTAAATGAAAAGACCATCAGTGAGCTGTGTGACAACTGCAGGTGGCATAATATTGGGTTAATTGGAGTCCCTGAGGAGATAAGAGAGAAGAGGGAACAGAAAAAATATTTGAAGAAATAAGAGTCAAAAAATTTTCTAGATTTAATAAAAGCAATCAATTCACACATACAAGAAGTTCACCAAAGGCCTGGCACTCTGACTCACACCTGTAATCCCAGCATTTTGGGAGGCTGGGGCAGGAGGATCATTTGAACCAAGGAGTTTGAGACCAGCCTGGGAAACATAGTGAAATCTCATTTTTACAAAAAAAGAAACAAAATTAGGTGGGCATGTAAAGTCTATCTGTAGTCCCAGTTACTTGGGAGGTGGGAGAATCGCTTTAGCCCAGGAGGTCAAGGCCGCAGTGAGGTGAAACTGTGCACTCCAGCCTGAGTGACAGAGTAATACACCAAGACATATCATAACCGAATTGCTCAGAACCAATGATAAAGTCTTAACGGCAGCTAGGAAAAGACACATTACAGACAGAGAAACAAAGCTAAGGATTTCAGCAAGCATTTTTCAGAATAACACACCTTAAAAGAGTGGAGCAACATCTATGAGGTATTTTAAAAAGTAAACCTATAGTTCTGCATTCAGCAAAAATATCTTTCAACACAGGCAAAATAGGCAAATCAATCTTGGAAAAGATGAACGAAGTTGTGCCTATTTCTTTTCACACTTCCTAACTCCTAAACTTACTATGAAGCTGCAGTCATCAATGTCGTACTGGCATAAGGATAAACATACAGATGAATGGAATACAATTGAGAGTTCAGACTACCTCCTTATATTTATAGTAAATGCATTTTTGAAGGGTGGGGGTAATAATAGTCTTTTCAACAAATAGTGCTGGAAAAACTGGAAATCCACTCACAAAAGAATGGATTTAAACCCCTACTTCATACCATATATAAAAATTAACTCAAAATGGATCAAAGATGTAAATGTAAGAGCTAAAACCACGTAACTCTTAATAGAAAACATAGGTGTAAATCTTCATGACCTTGGATTAGGCAATGGATTCTGAGATATCCTAAAAATACAAGCAAAAAAGAAAAATGCATAAACTGGATTCATTAACATTAAAAACAAAAAAACTTTTGTGCTTCAAAGGATACCCTCAAGAAAGTGAAAAGACAATCTGCTTCTGAGAGAAAAAATTTTTAAATCATACCTGTGAGAACTCTCATACGTACGATTTGAAATATATATGTATTTGAATATATAAATAACATTTACAACTTAACTCATTTAAGAAATGAGCAAAGGATTGGAAACAAGTTCTCCAAATAATATGTACAAATGACTAGTAATCCCATGAAAAGACAATCATCATTAGCCATCAGGAAAATGACGATCGAAACGGCAATGTAACCGAGTGTGCTGCATACTTTTATAGTCCCAGCTGAGGTAGCTGAGGTGGAGGATCACATGAGCCCAGGAGTTTGAGGCCAGCCTGGGCAACATAACAAGATCCCATCTCTAAAAAAAACACAAACTTCAGGGATGGTGAAAAAAAAATGTACATGAATGTTCATAGCACTTAGCAGCATTATTTATAATAGCCAAAAAAGTAGAAATTAATCAAATGTCCATTAGCTGATAAATGGATAAATAAAATGTGCTATATTCCTACCATGGAATATTATTTGGCAGGAAATAGAAATGAAGTAGTAATATATGCTGGAACATGGATGGGTGTTGAAAACAATATGCTGAAGTGAAAGAAGCCAGTCATAAAGGAACACATATTTTATATGAAATGCCAGAACAGGCAAATCTATAGAGACAGACAGTAGATTAATGTTTGCCAAGGGTTGGAGGAAATGGAGGGATACTGGGGAGTGATGGCTTAAGGGATGGGGCTTTCTTTTTGGGAATGAAACAGTCATAAAATTGATTGTGCTGATAGTTGTACAACTCTGAATATACTAAAAGCCACTGAATCATACAATTTAAATGAGTGAATTGTATGTGAATTATATCCCAAAGCCATAAAAATCAGTAAACTAACTGTTTGGAAAAAATGAAGGCAAAATAGAGATTTTCCAGGCATATGAAAGTTGAAAGAATTTATCATCACCAGAACCGCACTAAGTAAATGTTAAAGGAAGTCCTTCAGGCAAAAGGACAGTATCCGATGGAAATATGGATATACATAAAGGGAGGAAGAGCCGGAAATGACAACTACGTGGAAATTGACAATTTAATGAAAAATCTTAACAACATAGTATGGAACTTACAACACACAGAAAAGCAAAACATATAATAAGAAAATACAAAGATTGGGAAGGTAGCAAGAGAAATACCCCACTGTAAGGTTCTTATGCTAAATGTCAAGCAGTATATTATCACTTGAAGGGAAATTGTGATAAGTCAAAAATGTATGCTAGAAACTCTAGAGCAACCTCTAAAACGTCTAAATCACCCAGTTAATATAGAGATTATAAAACTGAAAAAAATGTGATATGCTATCTACAAGAAATATACTTTAAGTATAAAGACACAAAGAGGTTAAAAGTAAAAGGATGAATAAAGATACATCATGGGGGACAGGCACGGTGGCTCAGGCCTTGAGGTCACGAGTTCGAGATCAGCCTGGCCAACATGGCAAAACCCCGTCTCTACTAAAAATACAAAAATTAGCTGGGCATGATGGTGGGCACCTGTAATCCCAGCTATTTGGGAGGTTGAGGCAGGAGAATCGCTTGAACCCAGGAGGTAGAGGTTGCAGTGAGCTGAGACCGAGCCACTGTACTCCAGTCTGGGCAACAGACTGAGACTTCATCTCAAAAAAAAAAAGGAAGAAGAAAGAGGAAGGAAGGAAGGAAGAAAGAGAAAAAGGAAAAGAAAGAAAGAAAGAAAGCTCACCCAGATGAAACTCCTTTTTATGAAATATTCTCAGAAAATCTAGAAGATAATGTCTCAGAGATTTTAAAATTCTGAGCATTACAGCTGAAGAAATCTTGATGTGGTGATAAACTTTAGTGACAGCCGTGCAAGAAATATTAAATGAAATAAAAACCAAAATGGAGGAAGACATGTATCTAGAATATAAAAAGAACTCTTTCACATCAATAATAAAAAGTCAATCCCATTAAAATTTGGCCAAAAAAAAAAGCAGAAGAAGCCATACAGCAATTATTCCATGGCATTCCTGTTTCCAGTTAAGCATTTCTTAAGTGGGGAAGCCATGTTGGATGCAGAACTCTTGGAAATCAAAAAGAACCAAATAAAAGAATAAGCAGGAAAAAATAAGTGGGAAACAGCTACTTGAAACAGATCCAAATCTTGACACATTTGATATCCAGTTCTTGGAGGATGCTGGAAACAATGTGGAGTTAACTGAGTCTTTGTTCCAGGAAATGGATGACCTGGAGCTGGGGGATGAGGAGATGATCCAGACTCCAATCCTGCTGACCTAGAAAGTGACTCCACTGACCAGAGAACTGTCCCCAACTGCAGAGTCTCAGCTGCCACGGCATCATGGCTACGCTCAGAGGGTTTTGATTTTCCTTTCCTTTTCTCCAAGAAGAAATAACTTTTTTTAACAGAAATAACTTTCTGTTAAATAATATTCTAACAGAATATTCTTCTGTTAATCATTCAACTTAATAAACTTATCTTAACATTTTAAAAAAGTCAATTGTATTCTTATATTATCAATAACAATTAGATATGGAAATCTAGTCAAGAATTATCATTTACAATAGAATCTCAATATATTAAGTACATAGGAATATATCAGACAAAAATATGAAAGACCTATACAGTGAAAACTAAAAAAAATTGCTGAAATGATTACCTAAATAAATGGAGAGTTATATTTTGTTCATAGATTTTGAAGAATTAATATTATAAGATGTCAGTTCTCAAATTGACCTATATAGATGCAATGCCATCCCCGACCAAATCTCAACAGGTGTTTCTGTAAAAATTGACCAGGTGATTTTGAAATTCCCATGGACATGCAAAGGACCTAGAATAGAGAAAATCGTTTTGAAAAAGAAGAACAAAGTTAGAAGCCTCATACTGTCTGATTTCCTGACTTACAAAAAGCTACAATAATCAAGACAATGTGGTATTGGCATCCAGATAGACCACAACTGACTTTTCACAAAGCTGCCAAGGCAATTCAGTATAGAAAGGATAGTCTTTCTGACAAATGATACAGGGGGAGTTTGGAAATTCACATGCAAAAACATGAATTCACACTCTTTACTGTAGACAAAAAATAACTCAAAATGAATCTAAGAGCTAAAACTATAAAACTCTTGTAAGAAAACATTAGAGAAAGTCTTTGTGACATTGAATTAGGCAAAGATTTTTAAATAAAAAAAGCACAATTGGGCTGGGTGCAGTGGCTCGTGCCTGTAATCCCACCGCTTTAGGAGGCTGAGGCAGGTGAATCACGTGAGGTCAGGAGTGCGAGACCAGCCTGGCCAACGTGGCGAAACCTCATCTCTACTAAAAATACAAAAATTAGCTGGGCATGGTGGCAGGCGCCTGTAATCCCAGCTACCTACCCTGGAGGCTAAGGCAGGAGAATCACTTGAACCCAGGAGGCAGAGGTTGCAGTGAGCCAAGGTCATGCCACTGCACTCTAGCCTAGACAACAGTGTGAGATTCTGTCTAAAAAAGAAAAGAAAAGAAAAGAAAAAAGATAACGAAATTCTCAGAGAATGGAAAGATTTTAAATGATCATGGTGTTAACTGGAAAGGTTAATGCTAGGGGCCAAATCTGATAGATGCAAATTTGGAAATAGCATCCTGCCATTAGGTCTTGAATGCACAAGTATCCATGCTTGTAATTCATCAACAGCATTATCCCCGAAAGGTTTGATTTTTTTATTTTCCCCAGAATGATCAGTGGTGTGGTAAAGACTTATTTTTTTAGAAACCACACACATATAAAACAGCTTTTGACTCCTGTTTCTAAAAACATATTTGTGTACATTATATTATATATTTTGTAATATGTATGTATATAAGTGGCCATGCAGCCTCTCCACACATACACATATGCTCTGGTTAACTGGAGAGTTTTGGAACTCAAGTATTAAATTACTATTTTTTTTAAATAGAAAAAGATATAATAACAAAGGTTAAAAATTGGGATAAGGTATTAGGCTTAGCCCACAAAATTTGACCAAACATTTTTTCAAGGATTGAACAATTTCAGTCAATAAATGCAAGGCCATAAGTATAAGCAAACAACAACCACCCCCCGCCACATCCACACACGCGCGCCTTTTACTAAATGTGATCTGTGTCATGAAAATAAAGTTAGATTATCTGATGAGGAGAGTTGATGGTGAAGACTGAGAGTTGCTTAAAAATGTTAGCTCATAATGAAAATCATAGCATAAATGTACGTCATATTTGAGAACATTAATGACCTTCCTTCACCAAGGATGTCCTCCCGCCACCACGCCATCAAGCCTTATTTCATTGGTAGGTTTATTCATGTCGCCTTGTGTGCTTCTGGAATGTAATCCTCCCCAGGTAATCTTTCCAATTTATCCCTAGCATAAATCCACAGCCTAAAGTCTTAGCATGCATTTATACTGCTGTTATACATCGTCCGTACTACAATGATGCCCTAAAGCTGACAACACAACTCTCCAAATAGAAAGAAAGCAGTGTAACGATATTAATCATGCACATTACGTGCCTGTGTGCGCCAGGCACTATGGTTAATATTTCAAATATCTTAACCCCCATAAGTCTTAACAACTGCATGGGGTAGGTGGTATTATTCTCACTTTACAGTGAGAAAACAGGTTTGGGGACCTTAAACCCATGTTTTTCTTACTGCACTTCCATTTCCACAGATATGGGTGGTAGTCTCAGGGCTCGTTGGCTACAGAGGGAATTTGTGTCTCAATAGTCCCAATTAGACACAGGTTTTATTAGTCCTTATGTTTCTTTGGTATTTTCTAGCCATCTATTACTATTGTCATTGCTGTAACAGTGACTCACTCTAGCCATCTTTTCCCCTCAACCACCCTTTCCTAACTTGTAATATCTCAGAAAGGTCACCAGCCTTGTTAGAACTTTGGGTAAAAGAAGCATTGAGCAAAGGCGGTGGTGATGGTGGTGGGGGTAGAGGGGTTGAGACTTGAATGGGGAATCTGGCATTCTGAGGAGTCTTATAGGACAGGGTGCTGGAAATTTTTGATATTCTAGGTTAGTTTGTCAACACATTCTGTGACAAACAGAAGGGGTCGGCTTATATATGTGAATAAGATGAGAGAGACATGAAGGTAGGTGTGCATATAAAGAAAAATTGCAGTGGAGAAAGCATCTTAATTCTTATTTTTAATAGATCATGAAGAACACTGAAGAAACGTCAAAGTGAACCAAATCATTGCTTTTATTTTACAAAGGCAGAAAATAAAACACCATTAGGTAAAGAATGAAACATTTAATCCTTTATTTCCTAAATGAAACGCTTTTTTTGCGTGTGTAACCTGTCATATCATGAACCTGTCATAATCCACTCTGCTGCAAGGTGTGTGTGCTTTTATAATTGCGTCAGTCCATCGGCAACTGCTAAGCAGGGGATACCAGTATAATTCGGAAGTCACATTGGCTCAACATGACTCTCCCCGGAAAGCTGATGTGCTGAAGCAACCAGAGACAAATGTTCACACACCCAGAGAGAAACCCTCAGGGACAGATGAAGATCTTATGAAAAAGGATGAAAACCCTTTAAGTGCAAGCAGTAGCTGGCTTAGTGGCCTTCAAAACCACCTCATTCTTGGGGTGTTGATGTATCTGAGAAGCTGCAAGTACAGATGAAAACACTGAGAAGACATTTCACCTGGCAATTAGAAAAAAGCACTCACTGGCTGGGCATGGTGGCTCACGCCTGTAATCCCAGCACTTTGGGAGGCTGAGGCAGGTGGATCACGAGGTCAGGAGTTTGAGACCAGCCTGGACAAAATGATGAAACCTTGTCTCTACTAAAAATACAAAATTAGCCAGGCGTGGTGGCAAGTGCCTGTAATCCCAGCTACGTGGGAGGCTGATTCAGAATGGCTTAAACCTGGGAGGCAGAGGTTGCAGTGAGCCAAGATCACGCCACTGCACTCTAGCCTGAGTGACAGAGCAAGACTCCGCCTAAAGGAAAAAAAAAAAAAAAAAAAAAAAAGGGGCACTCACTGATGGATACCTCTGTATCTTTCTTTCAATACTGATGAAAATGCTTTCTTCTAGAAGTGACTGATTTCAAGGATCTGTCTCTCAAAGGAACAAACAAAACCCCAAAAGTTTAAGACTGCAAAAGATGGACTAATTTTAGGTGCAAATGCCAGTGAAAATTTAGGATTGTTACTGTACTACATAGGCTACAAAGTTCCAAACCTATTTTCCTTGTCATTTTCAGTGCATAATTTTGCAGAATGCAGTTTTCATCTTTTTAGGTGCAACATTAAGAACTGGTTCAGTCAGAACAATTTTTAGTTTCTCCAGTTTTTTCTACCCGAGTTACATGGGAAGAAAAAAAAAGCAATAGTAACTTGAAGAAAGTGTGAAAACAAAAGTCTTGGAGCAGTGGACAGGTCTGGGGCTGGTAAACGGCTTAGGCAGAGGCACATGTACTGGCTGAACGTTAACAGCCCATCTCTGAACTGTCCTCTGTCAAGGCTGTGGATGCTTCTCCACACATCCTGGCCCAGTGTAGGCACTGTGAATTCAGTACGTCACTAGTGTCAGTGATTCATTCATCACCCGTCTTTTATTCATTTAACAAACACATGAGGACGAGACACTGAGACAGAGTATATAAAATGAAAAGCGCTCACATAATTTTAATTAATAGATTTTATTGTTAGAAGTTTTAGATTTTCAGAAAAACTGAGCAGATAGTACAGAGTTCCCCTATGTTCCTCCCCCGCCAAGCCCTGGCCCCAGGCCTTTATTATTAACATCTTGCACTGGTGTGGTATATTTGTTTAACCAATATTGGCACATTTTTATTTTTTGAGACAAGGTCTCACTGTCACCCAGGGTAGCAGAAGCCTATAGTTTACATGAAGGGTCCTCTTTTTGTTGCATGGCTTCATGGATTTTGACCAATATATAATGTCATGGATCTACTAATTATTATTTTTTTGAGATGGAGTACATCTCCATTGCCCAGGCTGGGGTACAGTGGTGCTATCTCAGCTCACTGCAACCTCCACCTCCCAGGTTCAAGCAACTCTTCTGCCTCAGCCTCCTGAGTAGCTGGGATTACAGACGCATGCCACCATGCCTAATTTTTTGTATTTTTAGTAGAGACAGGGTTTCACCATGTTAGCCAGGATCTCCTGACCTCAGGTGACCCACTCATCTCAGCCTTCCAAAATGCTGGGATTACAGGTGTGAGTCACTGCGCCTAACCATGTATCCACTATTGTAGTATTGTATACAGTAGTTCCACTGCCCTAAAAATCTCTATTCCTTATATTTACCCCTCCCTCTCTCCCACTGAATCTCTGGCAACCACTAATGTCTTTACTTTCTCCAGAATGTCATACATTTGAAATCATATAGTGTGTAGACTTTCAGACTGACTTCTTTCACTTAACAATATACATTGAGGGTTCCTCTATGTCTTGTGACTAAATACCCCAACTCCTCTTTTTTAAATAGCTAGGCCATATGATTTTTTTGGGGGGTGGCTTAAACATTTACTTTGGCGAAATCGACATAAGATTTAAATTTTAACCATTTTGAAGTGTACAGTTTAGAGGCATTAAGTACATTCATTGTATGTACCAATCACCACTAAGCACCTCTGGAAAATTTTCATGATCCCACACTAATCTGTGTCCCTTAAACAATAAATTCCCATTCCCTCCTGTTCCCAGTAACAAAAAAGTAACCTTTGTTCTACTTTGTCTCTATGAATCTCACTACTCTAGGCACTTCACGTAAGTGGATTCATAAAGTATTGTCCTTTTGTGATTTACTTCACTTAGTGTCTTGTTCATCCATGACGCAGTATGTAGCAGAATTTCCTTTGTATGGCTGAATAATACTCCATTATGTGGATATAACACATTTTGTCTATCCATTCATCTGTTAGACATTTGGGTTTTTTCTACCTTTTGACTACTGTGAATAATGCTGCAATGAACATTGGTATACAAACATATCCTCAAGCCCTTGCTCTCAATTACTTTGTGTATATACCCAGAAATGCAGTTGCTGAATCAAATGACAATTCTTTATTTAATTGGAAAATCACCATACTGTTTTCCACAGCAGCTGCACCACTCTATATTTCCATCAGTAATAAGAGTTCCAATTTCTCCACATTCTTGCCAACACTTTTTTTTTAAATAACAGCTATCCCAATAGGTATGAAGTAATATCTCATTGTGGTTCTGATTTGCATTTCCTGTTTAGTGATACTAAGCATTTTTTCAGGTGCTCATTGGCTATCTGCATGTCTTCTCTGGAGACCTATCCAAATCCTTTGCCATTTTAAAAATCAAGTTTTTACATTGTTGTTGCATTTTGGGTGTGCTGGATGTGAAGTTCTTATTAGGTATGTGAATTACATGTATTTTTTCCCACTCCATAGGTAATCTTTTTACTCTGTCGATAGTGTCTTTTGATGCACAAAATTTAAAAATTTTAATTAAGTCCAATTTGCCTATTTTTTCTTTTGTTGTCTGAATTTGGTGTCATATCCAAAAAATCATTGCTACATCCTAAGAGTTTTATGGGTTTAGTTCTCACATTTGATCCATTTTGAGTTAATTTTTGCACATGTTAAGGTTGCAACTTCATTCTTTAGCCATGTAGTTTTCCAGCTTTCCCATCACCATTTGCTGAAAAAAACTATCCTTTGAATAGTCTTGGCACCCTTGTCAAAAATCATTTAGCTACATATGAGAGGGTTTATTTCTAGGGTCTCCAGTCTATCCCATTGGTCTGTCTTTATGCCAGAATCACATTGTTTTGATTACTGTAAGTTTTAAAATCTGAAGGCATAAATCTTCCCATTTTTTCTTTCTCAAAACTGATTTGGCTATTTGGGATTCCTTCAAATTCTATATGAACTTCAGGGTGAGTTTTTCTATTTCTGCAAAAAGAAAAAATCCTAGAATTCTGATAGAGACTGCGGTGAATCTGTAAATCACTTTGGGTAGTGACATATTAATAATATTAGATTTTCCAATCCATGAACATGAGATGTGTTTCCATTTATTTATGTCTTTATTTAAGCAGTGTTCTACAGTTTTCATTGGACAAGCCACTCACCACCTTGGGTAAGCTACTTTCAGTGTGTTTTAATTCTTTTTGATCCTATGGTAAATGGAACTGTTCCTGTAACTTCCTTCTCAGATTGTTCATTGTTAGTGTACAGGAATGCAACTGATTTTTGTGTGTTGACTTTGTATCCTGCTACCTTGCTGAATTAATTAACTCTTAACAGTTTTTTGTTCTTGAGACAGAGTCTCACTCTGTCACCCAAGTTGGAGTGCAGTGGCACGATCTCAGCTCACTGCAACCTCCGCCTCCTGGTTCAAGTGATTCTCCTGCCTCAGCCTCTCGAGTAGCTGGGACTACAGACACGTCACAATGCCTGGCTAATTTTTTTTTTTAGTAGAGACAGGGTTTCACAGTGTTAGCCAGGATGGACTCGATCTCCTGACTTCATGATTTGCCCACCTCAGCCTCCCAAAGTCCTGGGATTACAGGTATGAGTCACCACGTCTGGCCTGCTGTTTTTTTTTTTTGGTGTGAAGTCTTTAGGGTTGTCTACAGATCATACCATCTGTCAACAGATAGGATTTTACTTCTTACTTTCAAACTTGGATGTCTTTTATTTTTCTAGCTCAGGCTACAACTTTCAGTACTGTGCTGAATAGGAATGGTGAAAATGAGCATTCTTGCTTTATCTTAGAGGAGAGGCTTTCAGTCTTTCACCACTGAGTATGACGTCTACTGTGGGCTTTTCATATCTGGCTTTTGTTATGTTGAGGTAGTTTCCTTTTATCCCTCATTTGTTGAGTGTTTTTAATCACAAGAGGCTGCTAGATTTTGTCAAATGCTTTGTCTGCATCAATTGTGATTATCATCTGGTTGTTTTCCCTTCATTCTGTTAATGTGGTATATTATACTGATTTTTGTATGTTGAACCATCCTTGCATTCCAGGAATTGATTTCATTTGGTCATGGTGTATAATCCTTGCAATATGCTGCTGAATTCTGTTTCCTAGTATTGACAATTGTTGAATCAGTGCTTATAAGGAATATTAGTCTGTAATCTTTTCTTGTGGTATCTTTGTCTGGCTTCAGCATCAGGGTAATACTAGCCTCAGAATCAATTAGGAAGCATCTTTCCTCTTCAATTTTTGGGAAAAGTTTGAAAGGGATTGGGGTTATTTTTTCTTGTTTGGTAGAATTCACAAATGAAAATCATCAGATCCAGTGCTTTCTTTTCCAGGATAATTTTGATTACTAATTCAATCACCTTGCTAATTATAGTTCTATTCAGATTTTTAAATTTTTTTCATAGTTCAGCAGTGGTAGGTTTTGCATTTCTAGGATTTTGACGATTTCATCTAGGTTGTCCAATGTATTCTTATAACACTTTTTTGTTTTTTTAGAATCTAGAGTGCTGTCCCCATTTTCATATTTTAGCAATTCAGTCTTTATTTTCTTAGTCCATCTAGGTACAGATTTTTCAACTTTATAGTCTTTTAAAGAACTTGTAGTTTCATTTATTTTTGTTTCTATTCTTTATTCAATTTATTATATCTGTTCTAATCTTTATTATTTCCTTCCATCTGCTAGCTTTGGACTTAGTGTTGCAAAGTTAGACGACATGAGATGTTGCTGTTGTAGCCTTGCTCTGTCCCCCAGGCTGGAGTGCAGTGGCGCAGTCTCCACTCACTGCAACCTCCCCTTCATGGGTTCAAGTTATTCTCCTGCCTCAGTCTCCCAAGTAGCTGGGACTACAGGCACATGCCACCACGCCCAGCTAATTTTTTGAATTTTTAGTAGAGACGGGGTTTCAGTGTTAGCCAGAATGGTCCCTCTCTCCTGACCTCATGATCCCCCCACCTTGGCCTCCCAAAGTGCTGGGATTACAGGCATGAGCCAATCGTGCCCAGCAAACATGTGATTTTTTTTCCTTTTCTGAGATGGGGTTTCACCATATTGGCCAGGATGGTCTCGATCTCCTGACCTCCACCCACCTTGGCCTCCCACAGGTGGGATTACAGGCATGAGCCACTGTGCTCAGCCTTATTTTTTTTTTTTAATGTAAAGCATTTATGTCGATAAATCTCTCCTTTAGCAGTGCTTTTACTACATCCTATAAATTTTGGTATGTTGTATTTTTCTTTTTAGCTTCCCTTGTGATTCCTTCTTTACTCATTGGTTGTGTTAATTTCCACAATGGAGGCTTGATTTGTTGTTCAATGATCCCATCTCAGGTTTGCCGATTCTTTCTTCTACCTGCTCATACCAGCTGCTGAACCCCTCTAGTGAATATTTCATTTATTATACTTTTCTCCTCCAGAATTTCTTTTTATAATGCCTAGCTCTGTTGATATTCTGATTTTGTTCATTTATCATTTTCCTGATTTCCTTTCTTTGTTCATGCTTTCATGTAGTTCTTTGGACCTATTTGAGTTGTTTTAAAGTATTTGTCTAGTTTCATGTCCTTCATTAGGACAATATCTGTCAGTTAATTTTGATCTTTTGAATGGGCGTTATTTTCCTCTTCCTTTGAATGGCCTGCAATTCTTTTCTTGGAAATTGGGTATTCACTATTATAATATGGTAACTCTAGGTATGAGATTCTTTCTTTTTCTCCTGGTTTTCTGGATCATTTATTGTTTATTGTTAAAAGCTGTTATCCATTTGTTTTCAGAGTTTTCCAAACTTATTTTTACAAAAGATGATTCCTTTTGTGTGTGATCACTGAAGTCTCTCTTTTATGTCATGTTCAGCTATTTTGACATAAATTCCCTTGAATGCCAGGGGCTATCCTAGATTATACAAATTGGCTTCATGCCAGGTAATCCTTCAATACTTACTTTGGCCTGCTTTTGAGCGTAAGGACTAGAGCAAGGTGAAAGCTTAGGTCTTAGAACTTTCTGGGCAAGTGTTTTCCCTGGGCATCCATGTCACATTTTAAATCCCTCCTGTATATGTAACTGTTCCCAAAAGTCTTACCCCAGATTCTCCACTGGGCCTTAGTTGTTTTCTATTTTATGTTTCTACTCATCACCTTTTGCCCCAGACGCCTGTGGTTCTTTGCAGTTTTTATAAGCAGTGCCCACCCTTCCAGTTAGGCAAAACAAAAATGTGACCTTGGGTCAGTCCTTCAGGTATCCCCACATGGGTTAGAAAAAAAATGTACACAGTAATTTGCAAAAAAAAAAAAGTCTACTCTGTTTTCCAAGGGAGGAAACTGGACTTCTGCTGCTTCAGGACTGACACAGTGCAGGGAGGAGTTGGGGCAAGAGCTAGTAAAAATGTCACAAAATTTTCCTACCATTCTGAAGATGACTGGGCATTCTTTTGGTTGCTGTAAACCTCTGCATTTTCCAAAGCTCCAACAAAGTTTGTTCAGACAGCTGCTACTCAGTTTTTAATGTTTTGATGGAGAAACAAAAGCTTGCAGCTTATAAGTCCACCCACTTTGCTGATGTCACTCAGGTCAATTATGTTTTATTCCTCCCTATAATCTCCCTATAATTCTAGTATTATAACAAGACCTTGAATAGAGTATGTTTATTAAGTATGGTGATTAAATTTTGGTTAGTCAAAATTAGAAAAATGTCAGTGGTCTCAAAATTCTCCTCAATCTGATCATTTCATTTAAAGGCAACATTAATGAATATATTTTCTTTCAATTTCTTCTAAATTAATCTATCTTGCCTATTTTTGGTGGCTGTGACAACAGTCACTACAGAGTGAAACTTTTATAAGTCTGTTTTAAGAAATGAAAGTTTCCAAAATATTACATGATATTTATTGGCTTCTGCCAGTTTCCTACTTTGTAGCAGCCTATGTTCTTGTAACCTGTCTTCAGTTGTGGCACAGGGTAGAAGTTAAATACATAAATCAAAAATAACATGTCTTGCAAATATTTGATTATTCTTCCCTATATAGGGTCAACATTAAAGTAACTTTCTGGTACCACACTCTTTATATAGTGTAAGTGTTCATTTTGTTCATTTAACAAGGGTATTATCACTAACGCTTATTTTATTATTTTAGGATTTTCATTAAGCCAATTCATACCCAGTTTCTACAAATGCAAATCAAGTCAGTCATCTAAAATCTTATTATTTCTTCCCAACTAAAGGATCTGGAGTCTTCTATTCCCATCAAGACTCAATTTATGGCAGTGCAAACCTGGGCCAGACTGGGTATAAAATGACAAAAGCACATTTATATTCTTAAAAATTTCTGCAGATTGCATAGAAAGTTCTCAGATTTGTAAAAGTTTAATTCTTTGCATGTTAATTTTGTTAAATCTGCAATATAAACCAGCTGCACATCTTATGCTATCTGACCTCCTAGGTTGAAGGTCAGGGTTTGCTTTAAGCAAAACTGAGATAACTATAATGTAAAGTGGCCTACTGGAATGCCCGCTTTTATCAATCTGCAGAGGTGTATCTATCTCTAGGTCTTAATTTCAAGGTTTACTTGCCCTCTTCCTTAGACTTTACTGGGATTAAAGGGAATGGAAATGTATTCCCTGCTTAAGCCTTATAAAAAGGAAACTGTAGCCCCAGAAATTATTTTGCTTTGAGAGTATGTAGATGAAATAAGTATTTTTAAATGTCTTGATTAAATAAAGCATTCTATGATGTGACTGTCAGCTTAGTGAGTAGGCTAAGGATACACCTGTGCTTCTCTTTTTTATGCTCACATTTTTTTCATGTCATCATTATTTTCAGTTTCACGGAGGAATACAATGATTGTTTCTCTAGGAATTTAGTTTGTTTTTAGCTAATATTCCTTTAATGCTTCTGTTTAAGACAAGCCTTTCAAAATTGTAATAAATAAGTTATGCAGATTTAACTTTGGTTAAATTACTATTTCCCTTCCTTGAAGAACTTCAAGGCCTCTGAGAGGCAGGGAGAATGACTTCCGTTCTTATCAGTACTACTATTATTTCTATTAGGTCAACTTTTCCCTTTCTACTTTGCACTAAGGTTGCAACCAGATGACTAAATGATTTTACTGTTCATAACATGCTCCAGAGGCTCAGCTATGAAAAGGAACCCTGTAACAACATTAAATACTGTATGAAATTATCCTGTATTAGACTCTCCTTTGAGATGTAACAAAATATTTTATATGAGTATTAATTTGTTTAAAATAATCCATTCTATTCTAAGGCTCATTTTGTTCATAATTTTCAGTTTTAAAAATCCCTTTTCTCTACTGTTCAACCAACTCTGGTTAATATCAGGGACCAAAAAAGTTTGAAAAATATTTACCTTATGAGCTATATGAGCACATTCAAGGAATAGAATTTTAAGGTATTTTGATAATAGTTGAATAACAAGAGCTAAATATATTCACAGATGAAAAGTTTTGATCAATTTTTCTTTGGACTTTCCTCAGGAACTAGTATTTAGAATAACCATGAATTAAAGGAATCTTCTAAGTATTTTTATCACATATATATAAATAGCAAGAGAAAAATCTTTTGAGTTTTAAAAAAAGGGGATAAAAGTGATAAAAAAGGAAAAGCAGGAATGTTAATACATTTGACTTTACTTACCTTGCAAGTATTCTACTGTCCTGTTAGAACAAACCACTGACGGTTAAAAAGTAACATTAGTTACATCATAGTGTATTAGGTGGAATACGCTAATTTCTCTCTTGTAAAACAGTCTGGAGGTGGAGAGTCCAGGCCAATTATGGTGTTTCTTCAACGAGGTTGTGCAGGGACCAAGATCCTTCTGTGGTTTTCTTCCAAATAGTGTGCTGCCTCCTCTGCAGGATCCAGGATGGCTCACCACCAGATCCACATTCCAAGCAACAGGATAGAGAAAGGGGCAAAAAAAAGATCATGCCATTTTGAAGGACACACATCATTTCCCCTCACATTCCATTGCCCAGAGCAGTCATACCTGCACCGGAGACTGGGAAATGTAGTCTTTATTCTAGGAGGCAAACCCAACTGAAAAATCAAAGGTTCTATCATTATGTGAAAAGGAAAGAATGGATATTGAGGGAAAGTTGGTGCTCACTGCATATCTTAGATATTTGTATAGAAATTCAAACTTGAAAATCATTCTACTGGGAATATGACAGGAGTGACTAGCTGACAAATATCAGCTATTCCGGGTTTTCATTTATAAAGGATTAGTTTACTTCCTTTGTTTATCCACCAAAAGCAATGAAATGCAAAACATTTTCTGAATGAGTTCCAAGGTATGTTTTATTGGTATAAAACCAAAATAAGATGATGTAATTCTCTGGTCTACCAGTTAGCTATATAGACCTAGATGAAAAAAAAAAAGGTTTTTAAGGAAAAAAGTAAAACATTTTACTTATAATAAAATACTGATTGGTCTTGTCAATTTATCTGACCAAAACAAAAATAGTTCTTTAATTTTTGTCAAGTAAGTAAAAAGTAATATTATCACAACTTCTGAAAAAATTCATAAAATTGAAAAGCAAAGAAAAATTTCTTAAGCCATCAATATATTTTTCTCCTTTACTATAGGAGAAAAAAAGGTATTCATCATTCTGCTAAAAGACATCACCTAACATTGCAAGGGTTACTCAGGGAATGTCTTAAATCTCTATCATACTGATGAATCCCCTTTCGCTCTTCCGATGGAGGAAGACTATTTAAGGTCACATTACTCAGCAGCTACATGATCTGGTGCAACACAAGCAAAACTATAATCACTCTGCTTGTGCCTGATGCAAAAGCTCTCAACTCCTAGTCTGTGTTATGTCCAAAGTTGTCCTTCCTCTAATATATTAAAAACTACCTTCGTGTGATCTTAGAGCATCGATCAAAGCTACAAAACAGGTGTATCTTATTTTTGTTTGAAATACACATAGACCGAGTTTCCATTTTCTCAAAAAGGCAGAACCCAAAAGTTGTATTTTATGAAAGCCACTTTAAAGATGGCTTTATTTAGATGACCCCAGATGTATGAGCGCCATTATGGTTGTATAGCTATGAAACAGATCATCATCTTTTACCTCATTACATTTCCTCAATATAAAGTTCCCAGTGACTATCCGATCACATCCAATTTCTCCATTTCCAAAGAAGCCGAATAAGGGCACACTAGGAAAATACTTTCTAAATGCATCAGCCTCAACATTCCCCTTGGCTCTGTAATACTGAAAGCCCCTGCCAACACATGCAAACATGAAGCCAATGGTGTTCTGCTCTGGAATGTTGGCCGCTTTGAGGCGCTGCATCGCAGCCTCAGCAGTCTTCTCATCATTGACGTCCTCGCTGAGGAGCACAGTAGCACTCTGGATTCGGTGTCCACTAAATGACAGTCCAACCACACCAGTGGCATCAATATCCAGAGGTTTCCTGAAAAATTAAGTTAGAAAAGTGGCAATATCTCATGGAACATTAAAATTTTTAAGTATAAAAGCAAAATCCTTCTGATTCACTGATGGGAGTCTGCTGCCTTTAGCAGCCTATGGTCAGTCTGAGCCTTTAGCACCCTCACAGGTGAGTAAAATACCGTTAAAAGTTATTTAAATTAATACATAAAAAATGCACAAGGCAGATCAAGAGAAGCCACCATTTTTTTTCAGTCACAAATACAAAAGGGCAATGCACATCCATAACAATTGCTGAAACCCATATTCAGTTATTAGAAGGTAGCTTCCTTACCTTTCTGACTTCCTTAAAAGGAACCTTATAATTTTATTAATATACACAAAGATGTCCATTAAATGAAGACTTTTGCTATTATTTGCACTGTTAATGTCTTTTTCCCCCACTTCAGCTGTCAAATTCTGAAAGAGGGTATATTAAAAATATAATAATGGAGGGTGATTTTATTTTTTTAGAGACAAGGTTCTGTCAGGCTGACGTGCAGTGGCACAAGCATAGCTCACTACAGCCTCAAACTCCTGGAATAAAGCAATCCTCCTGCCTGAGTCTCTCAAGTAGCTGGGACTACAGATACATGTCACCACACCTGGATAATCTGTAAATATTTTGTAAAGATTGGGTATCACTATGTTGCTCAGGCTGGTCTCAAACTCCTGGGCTCAAGTAATCCTCCTGCCTCAGCCTCCCAAAGTTCTGGGATTACAGGGATGAGCCACTGTGCCCAGTCTTAGAGGATAATTTAAAAACCTCTTAACTCTGCAAGTTTTAGCTTTATGTCTAGTCCACTAGAAAATGTGATTTTTTTTGTCTTGTTTATTGCTTTGAGTCTAGAGTTCAGCTTAATTTGATGGTTAAAAACTCATGCTTTCTGTATTTGCCTAGTATTTTTTAAAAAATGAAGTATTTTATCCTTACAAAAGAAAATGCAACATTGATAAGAGTTATAAAGCATAATATAGTGAACATCCACTAGGGGAGAAACAAGTATGTTACATTTCTATCATGGTTCCAACATCTGAATCTGTAAAATGGGCAAGATTCACTGGATCAGTGAGAAACTAAGACTCAAAAAAGGGTAAGTAACTAAGATAATAAAGCTAGCTAGTAGTAAAATGAGTTTCTGAGGGGCAAAATCCATCTTCTGAAGTCCTCTGCTGCTTTTAAAACTTTATCACATTTATCAGATTTCCTCTTTGGTACACAATTGTTAATACACTTGTCAATCTTGCCTCAAAGAATGATTCACCTTCCTTTTGGGGCCCTGGGTCAGTTGGGTTATCTGGACTTTATTAAAATGGAGCACTCATTTACTCAATGGTTTGTCTTACCCACTCACTGACAGAATATGAAGGCCACATTAAAATTAATGAGTCATGTGAAGAGTAATGATGGGGGGGGTGTTTCTCATATTAGGTATAAAAAGTAGATGATATACAAATAGCTACACTAACAAGCTAGTGCCTCAGATGTTCTAAGTTTGAGTGAGATATCTGCATTTCAAAGGTACACTGTATGTTGAATCACCATTGCCCTATTGATATACAATTTAAAAGTTAATAGTAAAGACACAGGAAAAATTAGGCAAGAGGGGAAATAACTTAGCCACCAAGAATTTGGTGTATGTATGCCCGAAACCCAGTGTTTGATATCCTACTGCCTGGAATTCAAAGTACTTGGCTTTCCTCTCTTCCTCCTCCCTGGCAGTCCAGGGACCTCTACTCCAGGGACCTCAACTTTAACTATTTTCCTAGGTCTATTCTGGGCAGAGACTACCAGAAGAGAAACTGTAACTAGGATGACTTACATTATTCTTATGGATACTGACCTCCAATAGTCTGACATGGGGACATAGAGTGTCCCCATGTCACCACTCTAGGATGCGAATATTAAACAGAGTGGGAAACAAATGCTAGTCTTTACAAGCATTGAGGGTGGGACAGGGTCTCATTTTCCTGTTAGAAACCAATGACATTTATGTCCACCTAATTGGTTCAAACTCAAAATGGTATGTACTTTCATGCAAGATGGAAAGGAAGTAATGGCTTCCAAGACAGAACAGCAAATATTTTTATCTTTGAAAGCAAGAGCCTTAGTAACAAAAATCAAAGTTCCACAATTTTTGATCTTGAAAAAGCCTTTCAAAAGATCTAATACAGAATTTCCAAAAATCAGTAGGACTTGCAAGATGCTCTGTGGACAAAAGGTTTTGTGACCAAATAGATTTGGGAACTGTCACAGGTAATACTATTCCCCTTCCAGATTTCCAAAGCATGGAGCATATTAAAGGCTCTGAGAAGTTCTGCCATAAAGATACACTTTAACCATGTGTTTCCTTTAAAGGAGGAAACTAGAGAGGAAGTGACATATTGAGGTCACACAGAGTACCACACCTGTCAAAGGAAAGATCAATGGGCAATGGCAACATCAGTTTTAGGGAGAATGTGAGTCCAACTAAGAAGTTCTTAAAGGACAATGTATTTAAAAATGTAATTCTCCAACCATAAGCAGAGTTATGTTGAATAAGCCCCTTAACCAATGTCCACTGCAAAATGGAATAAACTTAGGGGTTCACAATTCTTAACAATTCTTTAAGCATGTTTTTAAAATTGTGAACCCCAAAGTGACAAAACCTGAGACCATTTCCCTTCATTCACAGAGGAAATCAGAAGCACACAAGACATACTTTTCAGAAGTCAGTGATGACAGGTTGTCCACCTGGCCTCCAGCCAAGATGATATTCATATCACTGAAAGTGCTGACTACTTGCTGCAGAAAATTATTGGCTCCCACCTTACAGCAATTATAACCAAAGACAAGGACCACACGAAGTTCAGGGTTATCTAAAAGACCTGCAGAGAAACAAGGGCAACAGTTAAAGACAGCCATAAAACAGAAATTATTCTATACATGTTACAAAATGAAATGTTACTGTTAATGACTTGCACTCCCTGGTAAGGGCAATTTAGTGGCTTAAGCTATCAAGTTTTCCATTTTTTTACATTTTTAAAATCTTATTTTATATCTTCTTTGATCTTGTCACGTTTTCCATTCTTTACAAACATTATGCAAAATCTTAATTACAATTTTTTTCTATTAAAAAAACTAAATGGCTATTTGGACTAAGAAATAATACAATCAACACAAATAACAAAGCAGCTATGTACTGAGCAGCAACCCTCGGTGGACCAAGGTGCAAGCTGCCTCCTGGTTAGGAACAAAAGGAAACACTGGTTTACACAGAGCTGGGGTAGCAGTGAGAATTTAAAGACTTTTTTTTAAAGGAGAGAAAAGGTGCTAACCACCTATAGTGTGGTGAATAGTGCCCCCTGCCCCTCCAAAAGGTATATCCACATCAAATCTCTGAAACCTAGACATGTAGGCTTATTTGGAAAAAGAATTTTTGCAGATGTAATTAAGGATATTTTTAATTTTTTTGTAGAGATGGGGTCTCACTATGTTACTCAGTAAGGATATTGCAATGAAATCATCTGGCTTATCCAGATGGGCCCTAAATCGAGTGACAGTGTCCTCATAATGAAAGATTAACAATGGAGAGACAGAGAAGAAAAGGCAGTGTGACCACAGAGGCAGAAACTGAAGCTGTGAAGAAACAAAAAAAAACAGACTCTCCCCTAGAGCCTTCCGAGGTAGCACTACCCCTACTGCCATCTCAATTTCAGACTTCTGGCCTCCTGAACTGTGCAGAATAAATTTCTGGTTTTAGGCCACCAAATTTGGGGAACTTTGTTACAGCAGCCTCAGGAAACTACTATATCACTGAAATACAGGCTTTATTCACTTCCTCCAGGGAAGCCAGTGAATTAGCCTTTAAAAGTTCCTTCCAAAGCAGGAAAATGTTCAATTCTGTGACAAGGACTAAAAGCTGCTACCACTAGGAGGAGGCAGAGTGTAACAGAGACAGCCTACTCGCTCTGGCCTCAGCTCCCAGGTTTCACAGGAGCCTCTGGCAGCTTATTTACAGACTATCGATTTGATTTTTTTTTTTTAAGTTCAGGGATACATGTACATGTGATTTGTTACATAGGGAAATGTGTGTCATGGGGTTTGTTGTGCAAATTATTTCATCACCCAGGTAATAAGCCCAGTATCCATTAGTTGTTTTTCTTGATCCTCTCCCTCCTCCCACCCTCCACCCTCTGGTAGGCCCCAGTATCTGTTGTGCTCCTCTTTGTGTCCATGTATTTTCATCATTTAGCTCCCACTATAAGTGAGAACATGCAGTCTTTGGTTTTCTGTCTCTGTGTAGGTTTGCTAATGATAATGGCCTCCAGCTCCATTCGTGTCCCTGCAAAAGACATGTTCTCATTCTTTTTTTTATGGCTTCACAGTATTCCATGGCATATATGTACCATTTTTCTTTGTCCAGTTTATCACTGATGGGCATTCAGGTTGATTCCATGTCTTTGCTATTGTGAATAGTGTTGCAATGAACATACATGTGCATGTGTCTTTATAACAGAATAATTTATATTCCTTTGAGTATATACCCAGTAATGGGACTGCTGGGTCGAATGGTATTTCTGTCTTTAGGTCTTTGAGAAATCACCACACTGTCTTCCACGATGGTTAAACTAATTTATACTTCCACCAACAGTGTTTAAGCATTTCTTTTTCTCCACAAACTAGCCAGCATCTGTTATTTTTTTACTTTTTACTAGCCATTCTAACTAGTGTGGGATGGAATTGCATTGTGGTTTTGATTTGCATTTCTCTAATGATCAGTGATGTAGAGCTTTTTTTCATCATTGTCGGCCACATGTATGTCTTCTGCCAGCATGACCAAACAGAGGTGCTTTGGGGACAGGAAAATGAATCCAATACCTAACACACTGCTTCCATTTAATTTGACCACATGACTTCTACCTTGACAGACCTAAGGCAGTTACATTAAGGAAACAAAGGGTATGCAGATTCATGAATGACCAACTGCTAACACCAAACAATGACCTATTCTGGGAAACTGCCTCTGGTCTATTTCCAATTCTCTACACAATAAATTACTGATTTGGACAGTAAAAAGAGTATTACTTTCATGACATCATATACCCCAAACCATTACTAAAGGATCTTTCTTCTCTTATAGACTACCCCACGAAATTTTGAGAGAATATATTTTCTTCTTTAGAACAAATTTTCAGACTTAGAAGAGGCCTGTGAGATCAACAGTCCAGTTTTATTTTACAAACAATGACGACCAATGACAGAGAACTCACTACCCCAGGACAATATAATGACAGACTCTACATTAAAACCCACACACATCTCCTGACACTGAGGGATTTAGGTTTTAGAAACCTTATGACTTCTAGATCTCAACCTTTCCTACTGTTTTCTAAGCTCTAGATGCTCTTTTACAATTGTCTACTCAACATCTTATCTGAATATTCTAAAGGCACCACTCCCATTCATTTAACAAACACGTACCCAAAGTAAAGGAGAATAAAAAAAATCTCGGGACCTCCAAACTCCTTATGCCAAAGGGAAAGTTAAGCCTAGAGGCTGAGTCAAGTGAAGCCCCATCCTCACCCCAAATTAACAGCTGCTACTTCACAACCCTGTGTTGTTGCATTCTACATTAGCCAGACTTACCCCACACACACTCCCACCACCCCGCCAGGAAATGCAAAAGGCTTTAGGCATTGCCAGATGAGTGTTTCCACAAGTCATTCATAAGGAAAATCTCTGCTGGCCTCAAACCTTTAAATACATCCTCCCATAAAACAAGGACATGTCAATTGTAACTTTAGGACTGCAATCTGTTCAACTCCACACTGATAACATTCATTACAAGCTTATCTTCCCAGATGCTGCACAAAAACAAGATGAGATCAGTAATTCATCCACCTACTCTGAGACGCACAACTGGTTCTTCCTTTCTTCAAAAGGTTTACCTTATCCTCTGTAAAATATAAATTTACTGGACTAAAATCTCACAGGAATGTAACCATTCACCTTGGGCCTATCCTTCCCCTTCCTTCTTTCCCTCCTTTAGAAACATGTATTGAAAACCTCTTCAGAGTACATGGCCACTCATTTGTGACTAGTGTTTTCCCTGGATAAACCCTCAACCTCCGGCTCAGTAAACCTCGAATGATTTAGATTTTTGCCTCAGTCACACATTTTGTTTAAAACCATCTTCTCCAGTGGGTTTACTCTCAGTGAAAGAACATTTCCCCCTCCCCACAAACCCCAGAAAGTGGAATCACTTTCCCCTACCCCAATTTAGTGAACAAACCCACCTTAGCCAAGACTGGCTGCCTGATAGAGCGGATGGCTCTGCATTTAACCCACAGACTAGCTGGTGCTACCAGAAGATAACAGAGGGAAGGTACAACTCCAACTCCTTGCCACTCAAAATTTAAAGGCCTAAGATAGGAGGGAAGAGAAAGGAGCAGTGCCAATTTTTCCTGAAAGGTTCTGGGTTCCCTCCAATTCATAGGTAAAGGGTCATCAAGGACCCAGTGTTCTGGGCCACCTGCCATTGCATCTGACTACAGATTTTATTCTAGAATTTTCCAAAAGTTGATACATTAGCAGGGACGCACCACAACTATTAAAAAACAATTCCAGGACAGTATTTATAATGCACTTCATAAAGTGTAACCTCCTGGTGAACCTTCCAAGATGATAAACTGGTTACAAAATGTAACCTCAGTTAACAGAATAGATTGACCTGCCATGTAGGAATGGTAACTAGTATTCAAGTTAACTACTGCAGGTGTCTACCAAGAGATGTCTTTAGTTTTGGAATAGTATGAAACTGTTCTTTCCAGTAATAATCCTGTTAGGTACATTTAGCAAAGAATTACCAGAATTACTAGGAATTTTTCATCCACCAAGCCCCCACTCTCCTCCCTGGCTATAAATCCCCACCTGTGGTTGGCGCATCTGGAGTTGAGCCTGATCTCCCTCCCCAGTGCAAAACCCCGTCACAGTGGTCTCTTTAAAAGGTGTCAGCATCGCTTTTTCTTTAACACTACCTTCCTGCCACTTCTGCTTTCCCAGGGGCTGGGCAACTTTCAAGCAGAACAAGTTCAATCCCTTGAGCTTCAGTACTAATTCTCTCTGCTTCACATCTGGTATTGCCATGACCCCTCAAGATTCTCTATGAGGTCTGCAGGTAACTTTAAAACTTTGTCCTTCTTCAGATTTTTTTGGAATCTGACTTAAGTCATGAAAGTTCCATTTTTAACCCTCTTGGTGGCTGGCAGAATTCAAGAGGAGTAATTAAAGGATCAAAAAGCAGGGAGCAGAAAGAACCTGAACAATCAAGTACATCACCAGACTACCAATCTCATAACAAATACTTTAGTACAGAGCGCTGTTCTAAGTACATTATAGAAATTAACTTATTTAATGCCTGTAACGTGTTATGTACTGTTTTACTCCTAAAGAATCTGTGTGAGGATTTGATACTTTCAAAATGCATTAGTCAATGTATAATACAGCTGCACTAGCCACAAACCCATATGACACCACTGCCACCTCCCTCATTCTCAACACCCAACATCTCATCAGTCACCAACCACATCCTGTCCATTCAGCCCCAAACTTCATCTTGAATCCAACCTCTTCTCTTCAACTCCTCACCACTGCCCTGCTCCAAGCTGCCATCTCCTCTTTCCTCAGCCACAATACCCTGTTTCTCCTGCATCTACTTTTTTAAAAAAGTATTTTAACTGAAAAATATTAAAGGCATATATTTCTCATGTACAACATGGTGTTCTGAAATATATATACACTATTGAATGGCTAAATTAAGCTAGTCCTGCATCCACTCTTGTACTCTAAAATGATCACCACACCATAGTAAGAGTGGTATTTTCAA